GGAAGCGAGCGGTTCGATGCGGAGGAGGGGGAAGAGAGCAGCGAGTATGAGATGGAGTCGGAAGCCGAAGAGGATACTTTCGAAGCTGGGGGGGTAGACAAAGAGCAAGAGGAGGGTGAAGCGGCCCCCCCACGAGGAGAGTCGTCCAACCGGGGGGCTGAAACCGTCGCGGGGTCCAGCAGTAAGGCCGAGGGGGGTAAGCAGCCGGGTGCGGCTGGGGGTGGGCGGGGCGTGGCTTCCAGCCGCGGGGGGGGCGACGACTTCGACGTCTTGAGCAGCATCACGGGGGTGACGTCAGCGGCGGGGAGCCAGCGGCACCGGAACCGGGCGAACGCGAAGCCGGACTACAAGATGAAGCGGAAAGCGTCGCGGGTGAAGGACCGGAGCTGGCGCGCATTTCAGGTGGATAACGACACCGACGGGATGCCGATCGTGCGGGGGATGGCGAAGCCGGTGAGTCACGGGGCGGCCGCGAAAGCGAGCGTGGCGGAGCAGGCGCGGAAAGACTTGGAGCTGCTGAAATCGTCGTAAGGTTGGGGTTTGAGGTGCCTCGAGTCTCATGGACGGACTCGGAACTCCTGCTGGAATAAGTCTGGAATAAGTCAAGTGAACTCTGGAAGCTTCTGTACATACGAGCGTCTCTCGAGTCAAAAGTCGCAAAACCGCCCCTGGGATCGAACAAGGACGTGTATGTTACTCTGTTGGCGTCTTGTCTTCGATTCGATGCCGACTCGATTATGCTGGGCAACTGTTGGCTTGTGATGCGCACTGGCAACCGCATGAGATGGGCTCTTCGAAGTTCGTTACTGAGCATGTTCTTGCGCGTGTATGCTACTTTGGCGTGCACTGCCATGGACCTTGAGTGTATCTATTGGTCATGCGCATGCGCTATTAAATTGATTCTTAGTGAGTTGAGCTGGATGACTCCTGCAGCTTGGGAACGAACTTTATCAAGTCATTGATATATATGCGTATGAGCGGCTCTGCATTGCGATTGCTAGCCGACCCCAGAACTCCGCACCGCGGGCGCATGGGCGCGCCCGGCCATGTATCTTTTGCGGGCTGCGCTTTGGTGCCTGCCAGCCTGCATGTGGATGTGCTCCGACCAAGCTTATCGACAGCGCATTGGTGGCTCATATATGCAGTGCACGGCGGCCGGCCGGGCTCCTAATCCAATATATTGAGGATCGAACATGCAGCCGCGCATCATATAAGTATGGTGCGCCAATAGAGCCACTTACGTACCACATCGGGTGGATCGACTCGCACAATGGACAACCAGGATTTATAAGTAACCCTTCGACGGTTGTCCTAGATGAATTTTACTACCTACTTTATCATGGAGTCCTCGTCTACAATTCATGCAAATTCGCAAACCCCGAGCTCGAGAATTGGAGCTCGCCGCCCCAATCCAATATAAGCTTAAAGATACCAGACACAACCTATATGCAGTCAGGCGGCCGCGGAGGGCGGAACTGAACTCTGCCCTTATGTTGATATTGTCGGGTCCACGTTGGTGGGCTTGCGCGTGGTCACTTCTTTGGTAGAGCTTATGCGACCATCCTCAACAATCCGCTAGTGAGGAGGTTCATGTATCATTGATAAGAGCTTGGCCTTGCTGTGTAGCTGTGATCGATGTCGTTCGGGCTTACCTTCAACCAGTCTGATCGTTTTAAATCTCGAAACTCAATTGGCTTCTCGACCAACCCGTCCGACTTGCTTGCTGCGGACGACAATGTTGAAGAGCTCGAGAGCTGGCCTCGGTGAGAGCACCGTCAGGTAACCAGCTAAGGTTTTCTCAGCTTCAATTGGACTGAACGTTTCGAGACTGCCCGGGGCGCTCGAGCCTACCTACTTACTCTTGAAGTTCTCACGTCAAGCACTACGGCCACGAGACTCAGGCTCGTTAAGTCGGAGTGAAGTTTACATCAAAGAGCCTCAGACGGTCGCTCGTTGTAGAATGAAAGCAGGAAGAGCCCTCCTCGTCACTACGAGAAAGGCCGCAGAGCAGCGGTAGCATGCCTTCCTTGTCTTCCGGCGAAAAGCAGAGCCTTGAAGCCGATCGTCTGTGCATCCATCTTATCTTACACGTATTTTCTCTCGTCAGCAATCTCTTTGAGATGTCCCGTCACTTTTACTGGTGCGTTGCTCGGGACCTATTTTTAACGATGATGATGGTCCTCACTCTCCTTATTGGCTACGTGGTTGCAATCAACAAGGAAAACGTCAAAGCGAGTGCGCGCGCGCCTTGGTGCGCGCTTGGCGGCGGGTGTGTGAGCCTGCTTCTGGGCCCGCTGGACGCCGCAGTGCATGTGCCTCTGCGAAAGTACCAGTGGGAAGCGGGGAGCTTCGAGGAGGTGGCGGTCACATTAATGGTCAGCTTTTTGGTGGCCTCACTGGTCTCCACCTGGATGATGCTCACAGATTGATGTTCTGCGTCTCGGTAGGTCGTGCGTATGAAAGCAGGCCATCTAGGCCAAGGCGGTTATGTGCGGGGTCGTGGGAGAGTCGAGGCAAAGGAAACTCCAGTGGAGAAGCTCTCTTTACATGATGAAAGCGTAAGGGAACTGTTCCGCTCGTTCAAAGCCATAAGAGAAAGAAATCACGGGGTCATGCCGAAGGCAGAAAAGATAGAAAGTCAAAGGAGGAAGCATCAAATACGCGGTTGTATAAGTAACAGTGGCCTAAGACTGAAGGCAGGAATAACATTCAAGGTAATGAAACAGAAGTCCCGTATCTTGCAATGGTCCCATTTTTCAGGGATCACAGAGTCCACAGAAGATTGTGGTTTGCTTGGATATATCAAGTCAACATTATGAGATTGAGGGACATGTTGCTAGTTGCCTCCTCATGAAGAAGCGGCCACTTAACTCGTGCGATGTTCGAGAAGATGGATCCATTAGTTACAGTCTGCTGCCTTGTATTGCGGGACACCCGCGGGTTTACACAACATGACTTCTTCGGAGGCTGACGCCTTCTGGGATCATGTTTTCTGTCATCCGTACGGGCTTTCGATTAATTCATGATGGCTTGCATCTGGTTGAAGAATCAGACTCGAAATCCTGAATTTGGACAGGCCACATTTGGGCTCAAAAAGAAACCGAGCGCAGCACCCATAGCGCCTCGCTTTGGTACTTAAGATTGTTCAATGTAGCCAATCTCGGCGTACAGAGTCGATGCGAGCTGCCCTGCTTTCTCTCTTTCCAAAAAGGATATCAATGTCACTTCCATGAGCGGGCCGGCCTTATCAGGACCAGTGAGCTTCGTAGCAACGTTCAGCCTGTTTAAAAGATCTCAAACCTTGGTTTTACTAGCCTTGCAGAGGTAGCATCCTTAAGGGCGCCTTTAGCAAAATTCAAATAGGTAAGCTACGGTCGCCCTAAAGACAATCCAATACTATTCTCGGTCTTCAAGCTATCATCGCTCTACGGAAAGCCACTTACAAGGTCAGCGTGATGTTAAATATATTACCTGTGCAATTTAAAGTGGGTCCTGACAAATTGTATAAAACGAAGACTTGTGGTTTTGAATGGAGCCTCGAAGTCCAGACTTGTCGGTCCAGTAATCGACTAGAATACTAATATTTCTTGGTCGTCATAAATACTTGAGCAGGACTTCTTACGTTACGATTCAGTTCTGTCAAGACAGGGCGTGAAGTGGACGCCCTGATGCCAAGTAGCGTCAGCAATTTATGCAGGAGTTGCTCAATAGTTGGGTTCGCCTGCAGAACAACACATATCTGTTCACGAATTTTTACCAAATTGGCTAGTCGAAACAGCCAGCTAAAAAAGCGCTTTCAAGAGCACAAGCCAGGACGTTGCTTTATATTCTCCAAGATTTGACTTGCTCACCTGAGAAATCTTGTCCAATGCGCCGCTGTGCAGCTCACGAGGAAGCATGTAGAGTGTCCAGTACAGTCCCCTGCAAGGAAGAATGGCGATCGTGCCAACCAGATCAGTGCTTCCTTGGTCGTAGCCAGTACAAGCATTCGTGGTTCACACAATCGAGCCCCACCGCTGGTCCACACTAGTCACCTTAGCGCTAAAACTTACCTTGAGTCACTGCAGATGTGCAAGTAGCATTGCAGGATGTTCCTCAGAAAGCGCGGAGAAGGCTGTGGATCACAACCGACGATCTTGATCTGCATAGGAGCAATGAGTGAAGATACGTACGATGAAAAAAGGATCGTTCTCGAGGTCCGTGACAAAAGAAGCAACGGCCATGGCGTGTCGATGCGTTGACCGATGTTGAGGCAAACCAACAAATGATCTATGCGGGTCCGAATGTCTTGGTCCAGAAGAGGTCTCGTACAAGAAGATTTGCCTGATCGGAGAACTGTCGAGTCCTATGTCGAGTCCTATTGCTCACCATACTAGCCAGCTGGGTAAGAAGTGCAGCATGAAGCTTCTCGTCCCGCGAACATAAATACTGGATACCCGTTGGATTGAGCTGAGACGTCAGTGTTGCAACAATGTATGTCGCCATCTGTGGAAAAAACATGCATTGCGTTTACAGGGTTGTACGAATCGGGCGTAAAACTTCGTAAGCGAGTGTCTGCAGCGATGGTCATATCTGTACGCAAGATACATTCTAAGTGTCAGGACACACTGTACGTTCTCAGCAAAGAACGGCGAAAGTGATATCCAGCTTCGATACAACAATCTATCGCGAACACAATTCTCAAGCTTTTTAAGAACCAGTCGACTTACGGCCTTGGACATCTGGTTGCCGGCAGCCATTGCAGCTATACAGGTTTCGACGGCTTGGTTTTCCAGAAGCCACTTTAGAATCCAAGCTTCATTCACCTGCACAGGAAAAATTATCGGAGAGTCATTCAGTTTCAAGATGAAAACTGCAAATGGTTCGCCGAAAGCTGGCTAGTTCTTTAAAAGACGAGGACTCGAATGACTAGAACCAGAGAAGGTACGTCTAGATACCTCGGAATCAGAGGTGATGTTCGACAGCTTACTTGACAAAGTCGTCCGAGCAAAGCCAGTCCTGCTGACCGCATGTATTCGTAAACCTCTGACTCCTCAGTCGTGTCTATCAACGGAAACACCCAGAGGGGGAGTTGTGCCTTCAGGAAGGGTGGCCTGGTCTCTGGGTCGGATGCGATGCACTGCAACATACAACGTCTCAAGGGCTCAACAAGGATAGGCTGGTCGTTTAATGTGGCTCATGCATTTGCTGAAACATTGGGACTCGCCATTTGTTTACTGGAAAAAGGAATCGTCGAAGAACTGGTTCTATAGAATTGTCCAGACAAGGTTGCTTAAATTCTAGGTTCTACATGTACCTGCATCAAAGTCAGGACGTTGGAAACGCGCTTGGCAGCTCTGACCGACATATCTTCGGAGTAGATCTTTCCATAGACTGACACAACTTCCTGCAGAAACCACGAATACTGGAGTCAGCTTGAATAGGTATGCTCGAGGATCTGAACAAATTAAGCGCGTCACTCGTGCACTTATATCACTCATTCATTCATTACGCAGGAATGTATAAGATCAAAAAAATTGTCCAAACGTTGAGCTTGATCTGACCTGCAGAAGAACTGCTGCAACACCACACGAATACCACAGCAGTTTGGCCAGGTCGGGGGGTTCTTGCCCGTGCTGCAATTAGATCGAGGCGAAGGAGAAGATAAGAAAGACCGGCAATCTACTCCTCTCATTCCTGGTCAAGCGTACCAATGGCACTAAAAGCAACAATCTCCTCCCAATCATACTCGACACCAAAGAATAAGAACGTTTAGTGGATTCATGGAACTGTAGGTGCTTATCTTGGGACAAAACTTGGATCATCAAGGCCCAATATGTACCTCTGTTAAACAAGAAGCTAAGCAGCGGAGACTGTTTTCTCTGATGTCTGAGTTGGGGTCTTCTCCTGGAGTAGGTGGAACGAGCAGCTCAGCCACGAGCTCCTGCAGGATCATTTCAATGCAGCATTAGTTTCTTTTTCAGCCATGATCTGCAAAATAGCAGTGCAATTCACCAGGAGAGACGTCGTTTTGGCAGAGTCGGTATTCAGAACAGTAGCAAGGGCACCGATAAAGACCTGGCGCTTAAGATGGACCTCACCTCGGGGGTCTGAAGTGCTCTGCGCAGGCTACTTCCTTTATGCTTCCTGCAAAATAATTAAGTTGGACTTTCACGGTTCGTAAGTCTGCAGCACAGGCGCATGTATGCTTTATCAGGATACGTCAATGGCCAGATATGGAAAATGCAGCACGTAAGGAAGTTCCTGCCTCAATGCATTCTACTGAATCTAATTGGAGAAAAAAGTAAAGCTTCACCTTCCACCACGCTTCTTTTTCAGGTTATCATCATCTTGTGCTGCGCTCTCATTAGCCATCCCACCTCTGTATATTCTTGGATGAAACATTGTTTTCCTGAATAAACAAAGTTCGAATAACAATGGAATGCTTTGCCGATGGTATATGCTATTAGCACTTTTCAAAGGATTGACATCCTTTTCAGGAATGACGCCTAGATTGTCTTGGTGATGTATGTTTGAGTCCTGGGCAGACCATTGCCCAGAAGTGCTGCCGACATCAGGAGTGCCACAAAGCCAGGAATGACTATCTCACTACGTACATCGAACCTGTGCGTCTGCTCTACCAGAAGTACCGCTCAGCAGGTTCGCAGGACAAGATTCCTAATTCCGCAGAATTGATTACTGCTTCATTCGCACCCTTCGTCCGTTGAATATCCAGCACGAATTTGGAAAGCTTCGTGCAGGCGAGGACAATGCAGCCTTCTTGTTCCCACCAGTTGATTCTGCAGGGATAATTTCTGCAGAGTCCTCGAGCCAGAGAGCTACATCGTCGAGCAGCGTTCCTTGTCACGTTTACTTTCTTGTGTTGGCATGCGACATGCTCCTCAGCTTCCTTCCCTTCGAAGTTGATGGTGGACTTCGGCACGAGGAACAGGAAAGCTCCGACTTTTGACGAGCGCCTAAGATTGTCGCTTCGAATGCTCCAGCTTGCCGCCAGCTCCTAGCTCCTGCCTCGTCTCATTGGGCGTTCATCAGATCGATCGCGACATGCTGAAAATGTATTCTCGAAGGTCATGGGAACCGTCTTTGAAAGGGAAAGCAAACGAAGCAGGTTTGAAGTTGGCAGTCAACGAGAATTGAGCAGTCAAACCAGGCTATCAACATCAGGCAACTACCATGAAGTGAGACTGGTACCAGTCGAAGCAGATGTATAGCAGGGTAGATACGCGCTTGGAGCTCTGAGCAATCATTTGAGGCGAAAGCATGACACATGCATATATGCTTCACGGCGTTGAATCTCAGCGATTCCACTTGTATGCAGTAGGGCCATGCAATGTTACGTCTGACATAAGTAGATCGGCCACGAAACTGATCTGACATCTGGCCATGAAAATGTGACATAAATTAGTCACCGTCACATAATCCTCGATCAGCTGATTGAGCAGGGATGACGACATAAGGACGTCGAATGTTGCTTTAGCTGCGTTTGCTGGCCTGTAACGGTTGACATGCAAATTCTATGTGCGGCCGGCCACCACTAGTGCTGCCTTTACACCTTTACGGAAGACCTGCGGCGCCACTGCTTTCGCCACTGGCAGCTGTACCATCGCCATTGGTATAAGATGTTGGGTAACCGCGGTCAAGAGATCATTCATATAGAGATCATATCAAGATATAAGACTTAATAGAAGCGCAGGTTCAAGATCCACTGCAGTCTGTGCACCGGAATTCACTCAGCAGAGAGGACCGCTGACTGAGTCTGGACCCACCCTAACCCTAAATTCACCAAGACTTGCCCCCAGCGCGCGGTCGCGTGCTCCTCTCCGGGCTTTCAGAACTTCTCACTTCCACTGGGAGCGCTGGTGCCTCGCTTCCACATGGACCCGTAGTAGCCGGTAGAGGACTTGCTCAAATTTCAAACTCGTCGTGCGGCCTTCGATCAGTGATTTACGTTCCGAAATGACCTTCGTCATCTGCGCCTTCTGCTGGCGCTATAGGTAATTGAAATTCCTCAGCCCAGGGTCCAGGGCGTTCTGCTCTTGATCAGTACCTTTTGCTACTGCAACATGGGCTACTGAGATCTCGAAACTTGGCCTTATTCATCCTGCGCAGTTTCGCCAATTGTGCTCCGGAACGACAATGAGCTTCCGCGCGCAGCAGACGTCCTTGCTCTCCTTCTTCAAAGGGCAGGGAAAAGCAATGACGGCGCAGAAGAGTTGCATGCCTGCAACACTAAAATCCATGCCAGAAGCAGAGAAGAAGGGCTCTGGACACGACTGCAGCAAGCAACCTCCCACTCTCTGTGACAAGCAGCCAAGCACTGAGACTCAAGCTCCCTTTCAAAAAGATACATGTAGTCCAGGCTGTGAGGAGATCCAACTTCATGGTAGACTGCGCATAGAAAATGACGCTGGTGAGGTTGCACCAGCAAATTGGCATCAGGTTGATGTCCAGATCAGCGGTGCTCCGGCCCTGCCTCTAGCCATGGAGCTTGGTCATGGATTGAATCATTGCCAAGAAAAGATTCCTCATGAGATGGACCCCAATAAAGTGCCTGAAAAACAGAAAGCGGCGGAGGCAAAGGAGCTCAGCATTCAGGGCGCCAAACGAAAGCGGGTCGTGGTGCCAGGGCCGTCCCAGGAGCTTGAAACGGACTTGGAGCGCCACAGAGCCGAAAAGATCCGAAAAAACGAGGAGTTCCTGGCATCTCTAGGGATTGAGTCCAACTTTCTTGCGTCAAAGAAGGCGCAGACTGGGGCAAAAGTGAAGCAGGCAAGAAAAGTGGCCCCTCCGGTGCAGATGCCCGTCCGGAGAAGCACGCGGGCACGGGGGTTGGTGGCGGATAGCGATTCGGGTCTGGTGATGTCATCGCCGACGGCACCAAGGGTTGAGCCGGAAGAAGAGTTGGAACCGCTACACTACGACGATTCGAGCGTAAGAAAGTACACGTGCAGAACGCAGTGGGAAGGGGCTACTGAAAAATGCAGTGACTTGGGGGTTCAAGCGTTTGATTCTCTCCAGCCAACAGGTGTTAGTTACTGTGACCCTTTAATGACCAGAGTCTATGCGTTAGTTGCGAGAGAGGGTTGCGGAGGAAGGTTACTGGCGGCAGGGGGGCACGCCGGTCGCTTGGCTGTGTTTGGTCTAAGAGAAGCCGCTGAGCTGGCGGCAAGTGACTGTGCAAGGGTTGATACACGGGGAGATGGTGACATGGAGACTGCGCATGGGGCAGCAGAGGAACCGCTTTTGGCGTGGAAGGGAGGGAACGGGTGGATCTCAGCGGTGCAGTTCCTGACGCGGCAGCAGCAGGAGGGGGCCACTCTCCTGCTGACGAGCAGCAATGATCGGAGCGTGGTGCTTTGGGACATTGACAAGGTGAGAGAGGTCTTAAAACACTAGAGCTGTGGCGCTTTTGAGACTGCATCTGAGAATATCTGCTGTTTTGAGGGGAGCGAAAAATGAAATGATTCGCTCTAAAACGAGTTTCTGAGTTGCTTCATTGCTGATTGCTCAGCATTTTCTTGCAAGAAGTTGAGGGTTTCCATATGAAGGAATTATGCATTTTCACGTCACAACAATGTCTGATCCTATTCTGCTCAGAGTCCTTGCCTCAAGAATCTGAGGGCCGATGCTCCATGGAAACCCTCACCTATATATCTGAATCGTGTTCTTCTCTGCAAAAGAGCTTCAAAATCAGATTTCTATCGCTTCTGCAGACCTCAAACTCCACTGGAACTCCCCGCATCGTGGCCGAGACCTCCAGCATCCACAACAACGGCATCTTTGGGATGCACGAACTGGGTGGCAAAATAGCCACCGCGTCAAAGGACAAGACGGTGGGCATCACAGTGGTGACGGAAGCAGGCCTCGAGCCGGTGACAGTCCTCAGTGGGCATCACTCTGCAGCAGTCAGGGCGATTCACTTCAGGTGAATGAAGGCTTCGCTTTTGTACAAATTACAACGCCAAGCAGAGGAGAAGAGGAAAGTTCTATCGAACAAAGAGTTTGGGCACCCGCTTGATCCATTCTTTTCCATTCCAACTTTGAGCAACAGTACGTCCCTTGTCTGCGTCACAGATGCCGTTCCAGATATTCTGATTGTCGAGACAGCAAAGCTCGGCTTGATAGCCAGCCAAGATGCAGGCAAGCAATCCTTTTGGTGAACGGCCAACACCGACTCCGGTCAACACCGACCGAAGGTGCGGTAAAGATGACTTATCAATTCCCTGATCGGCCTGCAGTCTCAATAAGGTCATTCTGAGTCCGACAAGGACCTGGTGTCTAATGCATTTCATAACAATATAATCAAGCAACTCTTAGAATCCTGTACAACGTCTCCTCTCTTTCTCCTCAGCCCCTGTCCCAATGTTTCAGGGACTCTCACCACCTGGCAGACGGCAGCGCGGACTGCAGCGTCGCCGTCTCCGACCTCCGCCTGGCAGACCCCGGCTCGCTCTGCATCGAGAACGCGCACAACTCCGCGATCAACGTCGTGCAGTGGCACCCGACCAACGAGCACCTGCTGATGTCAGCGAGCCACGACCGGGGGATCTGCCTGCACGACATCCGCGCCACGCAGCAGCCCCTGTTCACATTCGTGGGGCACCTCGGACCGACGCTAGCGCGGTCGAAGAGCATTTACCGACCGTCATTTCTAGGGGCGGGGAGGTATCTCGCGTCGCCTGGGGAAGGATCCCAGGCGATCAGTCTGTATGACGTGGCATCGGGGAAGACGGTGAGCCGCGGGTGCCTGGGGTTTGATGCCACCATGACGATGGCGGGTAAGATGGGGCGGGACTTATGGGTTGCGGCGCAGGGGGGACTTGTGCGGAAGTATAAGGCGTCGTTGTCAGCTGCGGCCATATGAGGGAGACACAAGAGTTGCCAGCTTTGGAAGTTCTTCCTCCGCTTTCCACTTGACTCATGTCCGGTACTTACAGGATGACCAACAAGGCAAACTCAGGTTGCATTCAATGTGAATGCGCATCGACGACTGATCAAGGTTAGGCGGATGGCCGGCTACTTACACTTCCCTGTTGCTTGTATCGCACAAGGAAGCTTGCCACAGCATGCAGCTGTCAGGATTTGCATTGCCGCATGGTTGCGCTTTGCAGAGCACATGTAAAGCGCTCAGCATATATGATGGATATGTGGTTCCTAGTAATTCAATTTCTTGCGCGCTCTGCAGACATTTGGCTAATTCGTATCTATCAAAAACATAGAGTGACAGTAGCTGGATAAATGTCAGGTATTTTTTAAAAACTCTGATTCATGATAATCATTCATTATGCATGCCTTACAGCGCATATATGTTGGGCCTCAATCGTGGCATGCGATGGGCTCTGGCACAGGCCTGACACCGGCATGCAAAAATGGATATAATTCCGTCGCGGTACCATATACCTAGAATTACCTAAACGATAAGTTGAGTCTCCGGAAGTCCCGGAGTCCATGTGGCATGTCAGTGCCGCTGCGGCCGCCAGCCTGAAATATGTATACTGGGGCACCGTATGCTCATGCGTAATCATTACTAGCATGACGTGAGCTGCCGGGTGCCAGCGGACCATCTCTATATTGTACCCGGTGCCACCGCTGTACGTTAGCTTGAAGCGCAAGTCCTATAAATGACTTGGGAGCTTAGATTGCACGATCCAACAATTTACTGGAGGAAGACTCTGAGAGGAGCGAGGAGCTTGCCACTCCAAAATATTGAATATATTTGACGCAATATTAGTGACAATTTGGCCGAACAACAAGCATGTGGTTACTTCTTCAGCTTTGTGAGGAAGTTGCTTAAGTCGTACTCCTCGCTGTACTGTGACTCGTCCCACAGCTCCTCGAGCGTGCCCAGCATGGCCTTGAGGCCCTTGCCCTTGGCGGGAACTCCCCCGCCCTCCACCGCGGCAGCAGCGGCCGCGTCGTCGGATAGCGGCCCGGCCGAAGGCTGCAAAACTCGATTATTGGCACGTGTCAGGCATGGAGTGTTATGAGAGATGAATTCGATCCTTCGACGCCGAATGATTGACTCGAAATTGTTCCAAAAGTTCGTTGAACCTAAGCGTACTGCTCAGAAGACGCGTACTTTGAGTAGTGCCTCGTTGACGATAGATTGCAAGATGGCAAGCACAAGAGTATCAAGGTTCTCTGCCACAACACCAGTAAGGTGAAGTTGAAGCGGTGCCTCGCGCTTTGGCCACTGTAGTAGAGTTTTCAGGTCTCCTTACGACGGCACGAAACAATTGGAAAGACAGAATAGGAGCAAACAGGAAGAAGCAGAAAGTACACAACCAAGCAGGGTGCAGCCAGGGAAAGAGTGTTTTCGTGCAGATTTGGCAGTACGCAGTTGCCGCTGAGCTGAACGGATAGAATCAATCTTAATCCTTGCTTAACAACGAAAACCTGGCCTCTTCTCGACGCTCCAAAGAAGCAGCGAGCGGAAGCCCCCAATCTCTGCTGGACGCAAGTCGAACCGAACCCCGAGACGAACCCCAGCCTGCGGAGACACATAATTTTGGATAAAGCGCTCCGAGCCGCTCAAACCATACGTGAACTCTCCAACGACGAAACCGAACGGATCGGAAACGAACGGAACAGGAACGACGGAACGGTTGCTGGCCCCCACCTGTTGCGCTCCCTTGCTGACGCTGAAGAGGTCCAGTAGCTGCCCGGTGTTCATGGTATCCAGGCTCGCGTTCTCCGCTGAAACGACGGTGTTGGCGATGCTCAGCTTGAAGCGCTGCAGGCCCATGATTTTTTCCTCGAGCGTGCCCCGGGTGATCAGCCGGTACACGTTCACCACGCGCTGCTGGCCCAGCCGGTGCGCCCGGTCCATCGCCTGGGAGAAAGCACCGGGCGGAGTATTTGTGTCTGAGATTCATGTCGTAACGGGGTCTTGAGCTTCTCGACGTTGCAAGGAAAGGCTACATTAGCGGAGAGTCTACAACCAACCGGTGCGCCCGGTCCATCGCCTGGGGGAAACAACCAGGTGGAAAATGCGTGTCTGTTGTTCGTGTGGAGATTTCATTGGGGCTTTGCGATTCTCGCTTTGTGAGGAGAGGCTTGCTCAAGTAGTGTCTAAGACCAACCGGTGCCCCGGTCCATAGCCTGGGGGAAAGCACCGGGCGGAAGTTCATGTCTTTTACTTTTCGACGTCGCGTGGACAGGACGCAATTAGCGATGACCTTAAATAGTCGTCGTGTCGGTCGGTTCTTGTGTTTCAGAAGAGACTGGATCTGGGCCGGCTAAATGGCTCCTATGAACAACGAGGCATGTAGTGGGTATTAGCTTTCGTCGCGGCTAAGGCAAAAGCATAACCGAAGGCAAAGAATGAGACCATTGTAATCAACAAGTTTCGTTGAGAATGACCATCTCAGTCCACTGATGTTGCCAACTTGTTAGCTAAGGCTCAGAGCATGACGGAAAGCCCGGTTCTAAACAGGTTTGAAAGCGGGAAGCGTAAACAAGAGCGGAACCGGCGGAGGCGGACGGAGCGAGAAGGGAAGCTCACCTGCAGGTCTCTCATGGGGTTCCAGTCGTGCTCGACGAAAACCACTGTATCGGCTGACGTCAGATTCAAGCCCAGGCCACCGACTGCAAACGGGTGATCCAAGGTTGAGCTCCGGGGACTTTATGGAAAGAAAATGGTGAGCACGTGCAGCGTTTCAGCCTTTTGGCTGTCAACGAGTAGGTTGCAACACCAATCATTGGGGCATTGAAAAGCTGTCGGCAACGCCCAGGCCAATGTACGGAAACTACTCCAAAATGGTATGGACGACTGAACAACTTCGTGAGAACGGCTATTTCGTGTACAGAGAGGTCGCCCACTGCCATCTCCATTCTCTTCGAGCAGAGGACCACGCAATCGCTGGCTCGCCCTTGCAGCGGACAAACGAACACAAAGGAGGCCTCCCAGAGTCTGCCGCAGGATCGGCCAAGTCACAAGCGCATCCCTCAAGCGCGAGCCCTCTAAAACCTCCAAACCCTGGCGCGCGCGTGCGCTCACCGTGCGTGGTGAGCAACAGGACGTCGATGGTCGGGTCCGCGTTGAACTGGCGCACGACGTCGAAGCGCTTCGACGCCTCGACGCCGCCGTCCAGGCGCAGGTACGAGACGCCCGGCATGTGCGTCGCAAACAGGTCCTTCTCGATGATGTCCAGGAAGCCCTGCAAAGACGGATTCCGGTTCCGTTCAGTTCCAAATCTGCTCAAGTCCAGGGATTCCAATCGCATGCGGTTCTAAACCTGTTCAATTTGTTGGTGAGGGGCAGGTATGAGACGCCAAGTGCGGCGCAAACAGGTCCTCTGAATGATCTGAAAAGCCCTGCGGAAACGGAAAACCAGTTCCGTTCAGTTCCGGTTCCTGAGACGCGCAGGTACGAGAAGCACGGCATGTGGGGCAGCACACAGGTCCTTCATTAAAAAGTCCAAAAGCCACTTATTCCAGTTCCGCTACGCTCCGCTTTGTTCCGCTCGGAAAGTGGAAAGACCCTAGGTCGAGTAAACTTCGCTCTGCAAGCAAGGACGCGGCCATTTGGCAATTTGAGACTAGGCCCATTTAAGAAGCTTGCTGTATGGCTTGTACGTGCGAGAAAGGCCCCGGGTAAGGTGAGTGGTAATTGCTGGCATTCTATGGTCCGGGTTGACGACGTCAAAAGTGTCCAGCCGCATCCCGCGGCAGCTCAGAAGGTTGCGGGATTTGACGTCCCTTCAGGTCGCAATTTTCTCTCATGATGCACAAGTCAGCTTCCCTCCCAATTTCGCACTCCCCCGTCGGCAAGCTCCTTGTATTACCTTGTTCTCCCTTCTCCGACTCCTTTATTGCGGCATAAGTTCAGCTCCCATTGACTCACTCAAAGCGACCTTGCAGCACAAGCGGACGTTTGAAAAGGAGTGAACCACCAACCGAGCCCCCGCCCACATTCTCGAATAACCGCTCGCTGCTAGCCCCCTCTCACCTTCAATTGGGCAAAGATGAGCACTCGGTGCTGCCCCCCGGCCTCTTCCCCTTCCGACCCGACCCCGCACTCGTCCAGGATCTCCTTGAGGGCGACCAGCTTGGGGGAGTGCTCCAGGCTGTGAAGGCCCCCCCGGCCGCTCGTGCTCGGGAGCTCCGCCTGCGCGGCCGCCACGCGCTCGGGTGCGTCGCCAGCAACTAGGAGCGGGTGGCTGCACAGCTTCCGTAGGTACTGTGAGGAAAGGAGCGGAAATGAGGGGTAAACATCTGGGTTGAGTACTTGTAAATTCGGATTTCTAGCGCGGATTTCATGTCTAGGATCGAGTTCAATGCACAAAGTCGGAAGACATTCGCTTGCAGAATTAGGTGACCTGAGACCTGGTGAGGGGTAGATCATTGAATTTTTAGCCACTCTGCGCAGGCAGACATGAAGCCAAGAGCATCTCGCTGTGACAAAAATCCTTACACTGTGAAAAGAGCGGAGGCACGAGTAAACCAGTGCTAAGTTTATGCCTCTTTCGCAACGTCCCACACGTCCGCCTTTTCACAGCGCCGCTGACCCAACCAATCGCCCTTCAAAACAACCGTCATCGCACACAAGCAGTCTCGTCAAGCTTTTGGCATTTTCACACCGTCGCCTTTTCACACCGTCGCCGATTTACACCGCCCCCACCTGTAGCGCCTGGAACACGTGTGTCGACGCCTGCTCCGGGACCGCCGTGACCGCGTCGGCGCCCTGCACGAGGCTGCTGACCTCATGCCTGACGTCACTGCGGGAGAAGTCCTCGTAGAGCTTGACTTGGAGGGGGCTCAGATCGACTATACGGTCCTGGATGATCTTGGGGGGAAGGTCCGTGAGGACTTCCTCCTTGGTCCTCCGCAGCAGGAAAGGCATCACCTGAGCAGGGAAAACGAGTCTGACGCGAGTTAACATGGATTGAACTGAAAAGAGACTCCATTTGCCAAGGAAAGGTGTGATATTAGAAAGCAAACCATCGGGACTCCCTCCTTGGTGCGCCACAGCAGGAATGGCATTATCTTGGCATGAGCATCATCTGGGCTCGAGAAACGAGTTACACGGTTTAACTGCCCGGATGCCAATGCCTTCATTCTAGAAGAGACTCTATTTGCCGAAGGAAATTAGATGTTGAGGATCAGTCCGTTAAACCTTCCTCCTTGGTGCGCCGCAGCAGGAAAGGCATCACCTGGCAGGGAGAACAAGTGGCACAATCCCTGACGGAAAAATGAGAATCGAAGTTCACAAGGGTTGGAACAATAATGGATTTCAGATGGACTTCTACCGCCCAAGTAAGGGTGTGAGGTGTAAAGCCCTGAGGCTTGGCCAGGAATAAGGCCTCCTGCTTGGCGCTGCAGTGTAGGACAGGTAGTGTAGGACAGGTCTCAGGGATCAGAATTGAATGACCTTGCCAGACCGCATCGCATAAGAAGCGACAGAGAAGTTCTTCCAGACCTCAACCGCGTCTCAGTCACTAGATTCATGATCGTCAGCTTTGCTTCTGAACCCGCATCTCCGTTCATATTGAGATACACCTGAACATCCGATACTAGGTCTCCGAGTACAATTCTCAGAAAACAGACAGCGAAGCGCCAGCGGCTCTGAACCCACGACTTGTCAATGTCTGCAATGGCCCCCAACCAAAGTGTTCTATGGCTATTGCACCTTCGTTTGGTAGAAGGGTCTCATAACTTTGCTTAGTTGACGTTAACGAGCAGGAAGCTTGAGAGCCATTCTTCGCTGTAACAGGGTTCCTTCACAACGGCTCTTCTCCTTTTCCGCGACTCAAACCGTTTTTCTGCAGTTTATTAGTCAAGCGACCTCACCTGCTTATGCAGCGCCTCGAGTGCCAGAACCCCCGCCTCCGCCTGTTTCGGCGTGCACTTCGGATTCCGCGCCGCGGCGAGCGGCTTCCCGTATTTCGCGTTGAACTCCCGCTCGGTGCCCAGGAACCCGGGCATCAGAAAGTCGAAGAGCGACCACAGCTCGAGCACGTTGTTCTGGATCGGCGTCCCGCTCAGGATCAACCGGTGCTCCGCGCGCACCCGCTTCGCCGCCTCCGCGATCTTCGACTTCGCGTTCTTGATGACGTGGCCCTCGTCCAGGATGACGTACAGCCACGCGACCCCCTCTAGTTCCTCCACGTCCTTCCGCAGCGAGTCGTAGCTCATGACCACGACGCTGTGGCGCGGGAAGAGCGCGCGCGCGCGCGCGCGCTCGGCCGGCGAGCCCTGGTACTGCAGCGGCGAGAGCACTTTCTCGCCCACGAACTTTTCGATCTCGAACGCCCAGTGGCCAACTAGAGTGGGCGGGCAGACCACGAGGCTCGGGAGCGGCGCGTTGTCAGGCGCGGGCATGCGCGCGCGCGCGGCCGCGCGCTCCGCGGCCGCGGCCGCGACGATCGCGGTCGCCTGGAGGGTCTTCCCGAGTCCCATGTCGTCGCAGAGCACCCCGTGCAGTTTGAAGCGCTTCAAAAAGGCGAGCCAGTTCACACCCTCCTGCTGGTACCGCCGGAGCGTTCCGTTGATGTGAATAGGCAACCGGTAGTCCTCGGTGTGCCGGCTGTCGAGGAGCTGCTCCAGGAACCGGGCGTCCTCGGCGGTTTTCAACACCGTCCCGTCGAGCCCGCGCGGCGGCGGCGCGCCCCGTGCCAGGGGGAGTAACGGCACCAGCGCTGCAAAGCTGTGCGTTACGCTCCGCCGAACTCGCTCGTCCGGGTCTGCCATTCGCCCCAGGAGTGGCACAACTAGAAGCGGACAATACGGGACCAAAATGTTCGGCTCGAGTCGGTTGACGAGCGCCGCGATCGCCCCGGCGGCGCCCCTCCGCGCTCCGGCGCTCTGCGCGTCTCCCAGCATCGGTGTTAACGTGCTCAGAACGGAGAGCATTACCAACTCGGTCGCCGCTTCTGCGAGGGTCGCGATGCAGCGGCCGGCGACCAGCCGCACTGCCACGTGGCTGTGCCGGGCGCACGCGAAGACGGACGGCAGCAAGGGGAAGAGAGCAGTAGCGTGGAGAGATGGATGAAGGGACGGGGCCAGGGAGCGTACTGCTTGCAGAGTGGACACCAAACTCTGGGGGGAAGCGGCCAGGCTTGGCAGGGGTTTTGCAGGAATTGAGTGAGGTTCTAAACTCTTCGAGTCTGCGGGTTTGAGGTCGGTTGGCCTGGCGTCATCTAGAACCAGGCCCTCGGTCATGCACTCCCATAGCTTGGGAAGCGCCTCGAAAATTGCGGGACCTAATCGATTGCACAAATCTGACAGGACCGCTTCAGCCCCCCGCCGCGTGACAGCCCCCTCCAACAACTCCCCACCCTCCCCTTCGCCCTTTTTCACACCGTCCGTCTCCTCTTCGTTCTCCCCTTCCTCTGACGTCACCACCGGCGTCTCGGCTTGGTCCGCGCACGCGAGCCCGCACACATTCTTTAGAACCTTGTCGTTGGGGCTGGGCGTGCGGCCCCTGCAGAGGAGCACCAGTTCTGCAATGGCCCTACTCGCCGGCAACTGCAGACTCGCTTCCCCCTCAAACCGCACTGATGCCATCAACGGCTGGATGACGGAGTTGAGCTTCGGCGGAAGCTCCCGCGAAAACACCACCGCCCCTGCAAGCGCCCCCCGGACGCTTCTGTGCAGCGCCGCTTGCATCTCCTTCAACGCCCCGACCGTTACCAGCACCTTGTGCTTCGCCGCCGCGAGGCGCTCCCCCGGGGTCGCGCCCCGCACGTCGGGCGTCCCCGCCGCGTCAGCGCTGACGTCAGGCACTGCGGCGGCGACCGCCAGGACCTGGTCCGGCGTCA